GCATCACAAAGAGGAAACAACAACATCTCACTTAACGACGAGCTGTTGGTGGGACCACAGCTACAAGGAGACATGAGAAGTCTCATAATGAGATGGCGGATGAAAAGAATCTGCTTTGTAGCGGATATACAAAAAATGTATCTCCAAATCATGGTTACGAGAGAAGACCAAGACCTGCAACGAGTACTCTGGAGATATGATGATCAAGATCCTGTCAAAGACTACCGACTTACCAGGGTCACGTTCGGAACTGCTTCTGCTCCTTACTTGGCAGTAAGGACCTTGCACCAAGTAGCTCATGACGAAGGCCAAAATCATCCTGAAGCAGCAGAAATAATAAAGAGGGATTACTTCATGGATGATATGATGTCTGGGAAAGACAACCTCACCGATGCTGTCAGAATAGCCAAAGACATAGACGCCATACTGCAAAAGGGAGGCTTCAAATTAAAAAAATGGTGTTCTAATGACTCAGACTCCCTAAAGGAATTTGAAGAGTCTGAAAGAAGTTCTCATGTAAAACTAGACATAACATTAGACGGGATTACACGAGCATTAGGACTACACTGGAATATTGGCAAAGATCTATTTCAATACAGCTTAAACCTATCTGCAACGGCAAATATAATTACAAAGAGAACAATCCTGGGTGACCTACAGAGATTATTTTATCCACTGGGCTGGTTGGCACCATCTGTCTTACCCGTCAAACTTCTGATTCAAAGATTATGGCTGCAAGGAGTAGCATGGGATGAGGAGGTGGACGAAACGATTGCTGCAGAATGGAACAATATACGAGATTCCTTTCATATGTACCTACCAGATATCGAAGTAAACAGATGGCTAAATACTACTGAAGCCACAATAAATAATGTTACTATCCACGGATTCTGTGATGCATCATCTCGAGCTTACGCTGCAGTGGCTTACCTAAGAGTAAGAACAGAAAGAGGTGAAGTGAAGACAACAATCATCGCTGCTAAAACCAAGGTTGCACCTACAAAACCACAATCCCTACCTCGTCTAGAACTAAGTGGCGCTGTACTGCTTGCTGGTCTTTTAAACCAGATAAAGGAATCAATGAACGTACCTGCCTGCCAGATATTTGCTTGGACTGACTCAACCATTGTACTCTCCTGGTTGTTTGGTGATCCTGCAAGATGGAGCACTTACGTAAGAAACAGAGTTGTTGAAATACTTGACACCATCGGCAATCATAATTGGTACCATGTCAAATCACCAGAAAACACAGCTGACTCTGCTTCACGAGGGCAATCCTTGCAAGAGCTAAAAAATGATGAACGGTGGTGGAAAGGCCCAGAGTGGCTGCGAGTAGGGGAAATACAATACAGCAGACCCAATACTATCTGGACAGACCTGGAAAGAAAGAAATCGATACATGTAAATTTGAAATTAGACAAAGAGAAGAGTATTAGTACAAAATTTGAGGATTGTGACAAGTTGCAAGAATTGCTTAAGATGATTATATACTCTAAAACATTCTTAAAGGGAAAGAAAATGGAATACAAAGACTTACCTGTGACCACGACGGAACTTAATGATGCGCTAAAAACCTGCATAAAAATAACTCAGAAGGACAGCTTCGAAGAAAAAATACAGCACCTGAAATCAAGGGAACAAATTAGAAGAGCCAGTAAACTAAAGAGTTTAAAGCCTTACCTGGACGATGATAACATCCTCAGGGTGGGCGGCCGACTGCGTCACTCGGACCTAAATGAAGACTGCAAAAATCCAATTATTCTGGATCACGACACTCATCTTACCTTTCTTCTCGTTGCTGACGCACACTCTAAGACGCTACACGGTGGAGTTCAAGTAATGCTCTGCTTTCTGCGAACAAGATTCTGGATCCTAAGAGCTAGAATATTAGTAAAGGCAAAGATAAGAAAATGCCTTATTTGTGCAAAACTTAACGCTACAGCAAGATCACAACTAATGGGGGACTTACCGCGAGTTCGAGTCACACCAGCTAAACCCTTCTTAAACACCGGCATGGATTTTGCCGGCCCGTTCTATATCTTGATATCTAGAGGAAGAGGAGCAAGGACAAACAAAGCATACATTGCTCTCTTTGTCTGTATGTCGACGAAAGCGATTCACTTAGAATTAGTGGGAGATCTTACCTCAGATGCCTTCATCGGAGCCTTCAGAAGATTCGTAGCTAGACGTGGAAGATGCGCTCACATCTGGAGTGACCAAGGACGTAACTTTGTTGGGGCAAACAGGATACTCGCAGCAGAATGGGCTGAAGCCAGGCTTCAACTTGAGGGTCCGATTGCGGAGACGCTAGCAATGGATGGGACTGAATGGCATTTTATTCCCGCCTATAGCCCACACATGGGTGGACTGTGGGAGGCGGGAATCAAATCGATGAAAAACCATTTAAAACGGATAATGACCTCTCACGTAACTTACGAAGAAATGAGCACCTTGTTATGCCAGATTGAAGCTTGCCTCAACTCACGACCGCTTACCGTATTAAGGGACACAGACACAGACAACATCCAACCATTAACGCCTGGCCATTTCCTTGTCGGTGAGACGCCTATTACGGTTCTGACACCAGACTTCCAAAACATCCCAACAAGTCACTTATCAAGATGGCAATACCAACAAAGATTGTTGACGGACTTCTGGCGTCGATGGCAACAAGAATACCTGTTGAGAATGCAACAGTGTCCAAAATGGCAGAGGAAGGTCAAGGAATTTGACATAGGTCAAATTGTCCTCGTAAAATCAGATAGTTTGCCCCCAGGTAAATGGATGATGGGACGTATTGTAAAAAAACATCCGGGTGCTGACGGTGTCACTCGTGTGTACAGTGTAAAGAGTGGTGCTAGTGTCGTGCAAAGATCTGTAAATAAGCTGTGTTATTTACCAATAGACATTGAATAATGATTTATTTTATTATAACTAAGGCAAATTGTGTATATCCATATTCTATATTATGTATTGTTTAACTAATTTTGTGCTGATCTTTGAATCTATTGTAACCAAACGATTATACTGTTTGATAATTAATTTATTAAAGGGCTCATAGGCCCTTTGGTGGGCGGTATGTTCGGATAGAATGATCTATATAAGAGCGAGCGTAAGTGTCAATGCGTTTGCATGTGTGAGTCCGTGTAATATTTAAAATCATAATTTGTTAAATCAGTTGCAAATAAATCACCAAGTAGTAAACACGTCCCTCTGTTAACAAATCCCTATAAAATCAAAAGTGAACCTTAATACCAAGAACAACATTTTTTTTATAGGAGAGGGGGCAAACGAGCATGCGGCTCACCTGATGGTAAGTGACTACCGCCGCCTATGAACAACCGCAACACCAGGGGAATTGCAGATGCGTTGCCGGCCTTTTAAAAAGGCGTAGGCCCTTTTCTTGAAGGTTCCTAAGTCGTATCGGTCCGGAAAAATCGCTGATGGTAAACTATTCCACAAGGAAGTTGTGCGAGGAAGAAAACATCTTATAAATCGCACAGTGGTGGACCGCCAATCATCCAGATGGTGTGGATGGTATCGGGAGTTCTGCCGCGATGTGCGTTCGTGAAATTTGGCGGCTGGGATTAATCCGAACAATTCCTCAGAGCACTCCCCGTGGTAAATGCGAAAGAAAATGCAAAGAGATGCAACATCTTTTCGCAGCGCCAATGAGTCAAGCCGATCGGAAAGGACTCGGTCGTCGACGATTCGAGCCGCTCTGCGCTGGATGCGGTCAAGTGGAAGGAGCTGGCACTGGGGAGCCCCTGCCCAGAGATGGGAACAGTATTCCATGTGAGGCCGAACCTGCGCCTTGTAAAGTTGCAGGCGTAGTGCCGGCATGAAATACTGTCCCGCTCTGCTTTAGCACGCCAAGCTTTTTAGAGGTCAATTTGGCCTTCTCTTCCAAGTGACCACGAAACTGCACGTCACTCGATATGTCGATGCCGAGGATTCCAATACTGGCTGAGGCAACAAGGGGAGTTCCTTGAAACTGTGGGGATACGACAAAGGGGTTCTTTTTTGCGGTAAACGCGCAAACTTGTGTCTTCTGAGGATTAAACTGGACTAGATTTAGTCGCCCCCAATCCGAGACTTTGTCCAGCAAAGACTCGACTTCAGACACAAGTTTGTTCCGGTACTCGGTGACGTTTTCCCGAGAAATATTGGCACGGCCGGTGTATAGAACATCACCAGTGATGTCATCCGCGTAGCAATGAATGCTACCGGTTTGCAACATATCATTGATATGCAGAAGAAACAGCGTTGGTGATAGCACGCAGCCTTGTGGAACACCAGCGTTAATAGGCTTGCAGTCGGAACATGCACCGTCTACAACGACTTTGATGCAAGAATCTTCAAGAAAGCTTGTGATCCAATTGCATAATTTCTCGGGAAGCCCATAGGAAGGAAGCTTCGAAAGAAGCGCTTTGTGCCAGATCCGATCGAAGGCCTTCGCTATGTCCAAACTAACGGCCATTGCCTCCCCCTTGGACACTAATCAGCTGGTGATCCTCAAGGTACCGCATGAGGAGGCACAATATCTTCATCATCATCATTATCGCCCTGCACAAGTCCACTGCTGAACATAGCCCTCTCCGAAGGAATGCCACAATGCACAGTCCTGAGCCCCAAGGCGAGAGTTTGTAGAACTTAACCATCAATTATAACCTTTAGGCCGAATTTCGATCAGGACTACCAGTCTTAACGGAGACTAGTCATCCATACAGAACATTCAGATATTACGTACGAACCTTTTGGTAAATAGTAATAACGTTATGTGGTATGTAAGTCCCTAAGTACCCAAAAAGGACTAGTAATGTTATTAAAATCGAATGGCCGGTCTGTTCATTTTCACTCAGCTCACGATATCTTACTTCTTCTGAGTGAGTGCAAGTACTTTCCGGTCAGATTTTATGCACCCCTTTTAAAATTGGTATAGTTTGGTTCGGTAGGTGCACTTTAATCTGTCACTTCACGTTTCTTTTCTTTTCTTTCAGTTCAGGTAGTCAATGTTCATTGGCTATTACAATCCTCTGCGAGAGCGTTCCTATGTGTAGAAGAAACGTACTGGTCTTGTGGGTCCTGAGTATGTTCTTCTTGTCCCAAGGTATTATGGCAGGTAAGCATAATTTCCGACGCAGTTGACATATCGCGCCTAACAAGTGACACTATATCAGCTTAAAATTTTGCATATTTTAGTTAATAACTGATTCAGAAAGAAGATTTTTTCCCTACCGACTGGCAACACAGACGTATTTATATCTCAAGTACTTGCCAATATATAATGACAAAAAACTTTATTGAACGTCCGGTCGGTCTTTGCATGAACTAGTATTCCCTCGCATTACCGACTGGGTTGTCAGCTAAAGACAAAAGAGTTTGTATAATTTCAGCACTGAATTATATTTCAGCATTGAATAACTAACTTCGAGTTCCGCCATCGTAATTTGTTTTAAAGGGACAAATAAATAGAATATAGGTTTGCGATTAATACAGTGTCATATTTTACTTAATACTCTTGCTAATCAATTTGAAATTATTCTATATATATACAGTGGACCTGCGGTAATCCGACAAACATTTTGCAGGGCAGTGTCGGATTATCGAATTTGTCGGATTATAGAGTACTGCCTAAGACCCCCTATAGTCCGGAATTTTTTATAAAAGATTACCTTGTAATCCGACAAATTCCAGATCCAATGATAAGATTCTATATGTTACATATGTACTCTGAAGTACAAATTATACTTCATTATGTATGTCAAATTTAGTAAATTAAACAACACAATACATAGGGAGCTTACATTTTATTATAAAATTAACGTCATTAATGCTATAGTAGAAATTAGAAAAAGTATGCAACAACTTTACATTAGGAAATAATTGTGTACAAACAAATGTACATACTAGAATGTATGCGAGGATATATATATATATATATATATATATATATATATATATATATATATATATGTATAGGTATATATTTATAGTGGCAATGGGCCGGCCATATAGCTCGAAGACCCGATAACCGATGGGGAATAAAGGCTCTCGAGTGGCGGTCTCGTACCGGCAGGCGAAGTGTATTACGCCCTCCCCCCCCCCCCCCCACTAGATTAGAAGTTGTGACCTTGAGGTAATGGCACAGAATAAACGAATTTACAAGAAGTAATTGATAAAGGGTATTTTTGGAACGAAGTTCTTTCTCGGACGGTACGGATTTGGCAGATGGGGGCTAGGCGAGAAAAAGTGTAAAAAGTGTGTCGTCACACACAGTCAGTTAAACTGATCAGTTTAACTGACGTACATCCAAAAACTGACCGTGAGTGTGAAATCTTAAGGTAAAATTTTTAACCCCCGGAAACCCACGGAATTTTTCCGGCGTACTATCAGTTAAACTGCTCAGTTGAACTGATGTACATCCAAAAACTGATCATGTGTTAACACATATGATTAGTCTTAAGTTAAATTTTTTTACTGACGGTAACCCACGAATTTTTCATATTGTAATCCGCTGGCTTCAGTTTGTTTCAATTATTGGTAAGTACTTATTATATTAGTAGCTACTTACATTATTTCTATGCTGTTTAGATTTTATTTTATTTTATATATTTAGAGAAGTTTGTTTGACGGAAGATGGAGACCAAAGGGACTGTGATGATGTCACCTTCCTTATGGTGGACCTAGAAGGTGGGTAAAGGATCTAGGTGATGCTAATGCGTAGAATTGTCTTTGAACTCATTTTCAAAAAGGTTAATGGAAATCTAGGTGACTTTTATGATCTCACATTTTTGATGGTGTAATCCGAAGGTGGGTATAGGATCTCAGTGATGGCACTAGATAGAACGATCGTGTTTGAACTCATTTGAAAGGGCTCATAAAGACCTAGATGACTGTTATGACCTCTCCTTATTGATGGTGCAATCCGAAGGTGGGAATAGGATCTTAGTTTTGGCGCTAGATAGAACGATCGTGTTTGAACTCATTTGAAAGAGCTCATAAAGGCCTAGGTGACTGTTACGACCTCACCTTTTTGATGTTGCAATCCGAAGGTGGGTATAAGATCTCAGTGATGGCACTAGATAGAACGATCGTGTTTGAACTCATTTGAAAGGGCTCATAAATACCTAGTTCACTGTGATGATATTACCTTCATGATGGTGGACTTAGTAGGTGGGGTAAAAGATCTCAGTTATGACACTACGAAAAACCATCGTGTTTGGGCTTATTTGAAAGGGCTCAGGTAGACTAATATGAATGAGTAAATATGCCATGATTTTAAGAATAAGTAACTATTAGAAATACCCTTTTCGATTTATTGTGGTTTGTGGCTTATTACCAGACTGTAATAGTAAAAACAGTATTATTACTCACTTCATTTATTAGGTTTTCAGACAATTAAAAAACCAGCAAAACTCTCAAGTAGGTACTAAATTAGAAATCGACCATATATTTTACAGGCAATAAAAAACAAGGCAGACCGGAAAAAGTATAACCAACTACAACCAGAAGACATTAACCCCCCCATTTACATCAATTCCTATTAATGACCAACTTACCTGTATTCGGTATTTAGAATTCAATGATTTTTGACTGGAAGTAACGTTTTTAGATTTTGTAAATAAAACAATGCTGTACTCAAGGATTTATTACACGAATACCAGACTTATATGAAAAAATATGAAAAAAATATTTTGTGGTAACAAGTGGCTAACTTTTTATTGGTTGAGCGAAATGCCTGAAAGCCAAGCTTATTTCAATGATTAATCTGAGTCTATTTGTGTATTTAATGACCTGTAAAATTGTAGAGTTGTTTGCTTTATTTTACTTTGTGTTATGACTATTACACTAAAGACTGGGTTGCCGTATCCCATAAACATCTACATCTATCCTCGATTACAAATCAAAATGCAGATGCATCATCACCCGTGAGGACTAAGATGGAATGCCTCGGTTCCAGTAAAAAGGTTCTTCGGTTCTCTATACTCACTATACGAAACACATCAGTTTTAAGTTGCTATTTTATTTTTACGTTGGTATTCTGTGAGAGTGTGGTATACATTTGTTGCGTAACGAACGATTAAAATGTTATGGATATTTTGACATTTTATTTTTTGATGTAAAATTGAGTTTGAATTAATATAGTTAAAGAAGACCAACGAATTGCTTCTACAGTCAACCTTTTAGTGTCCAATAACCGTAAAAGTCAAACAGCTGAATATATAAAACCACGAGTATTCTTGACAATTCTTACTGAAAAATATTGGTACACATAATTGTCTCATTTAAATTAAACAATAATTACTAAGAGCTATAACCTAACAATTTCATACATTTATAATTCATTTGTTTAATAAATATACTAAATTATAAATTGTGTAAATAATTTTTGAGCTCACTTACGATTGTTTTCTTTTAAATAAAGCCGATATATCAATATATCGCTATTTTTTTTGGACATATACAAAACTCCGATATTGATATATTTCTAATTATATATTGAATATCCAATATTTTAAAAATATCAACAGACCTAGTTTGAACTGATCAGTTGAACTGACCGTGTGTGTCGAACTTTTTTGGCTTAAATCCGTTTAAACAGATCAATTGAACTGATGTACGTGCGTATCGGCTATAAGATTTTTCCGTCACGACCCCTGCTGACGTAGTATAGACGGCCTTGGCGGCTATAAGGAAGCGAGATGGAATAACATCCATCTCCCTCACACTTTTTCTCATCGTGCCTAATATTATTTTATTTTAAATGACGCTTCATTTTAATAGACGCTAGTAATTCTGTTATTTGTATTTGTTAATCAATAATATAATTCGTTTATCAATAATAATATACTACGAAAGGAATTCGTTCCAACCGAGTGTTTCTATCGTGAAACACTCACGCATGTTTTTTTGTTTTATCAACGATTGCATTTTTATTAACGAAGGCAATACAACAAGGAGTCAAGTTTTAATTCAATATTAAACACAATTCTTTCAGTAATCGCCATACCCATTATTCCGCTACCGTTCTCATTCTACCTTCCCGGATTGGGCATCTACTGGAACTCTTGGCGAACTCTACTCCTCGTCTACTCTACACCAAGTCTTCTAGCTGCTGTCTGGCTGTTCTTCATGCAGGAGAGCCCAAAATATGTGTTTGTGAAAGGACATGAAGAAGAATCTATAGATATTATAAAAACCATACACAGTTGGAACAATTGGAAACCAGCAGAAGATTTTCAAGTAATATTGAACTTCTCTAGTTAGCTCTTTAGCGAGAAGTTAGAAAGCAGTTATCATCTGCTTTCTAACTTCTCGCTTAAAAATCATAAACATTGAATTTGAATTCTTACTAATACCACAGAATAAATAATAGTACAAGAACTAATACCAAATTCTAAGATCCGTGGTAACTCAGGGTCTAAACGTTTCCCAAAAATTTCACAGTATGCAAGCAACCTGAGTTCGATCTTTGTGACACCCATCAAATAAGGTTTTAAGGTATAACGGATCAGAAAACTGAATTTGCAATGGGCCGGCCATATATCTTAAAGAATCGGTTCTTCGAGTAAAAAGAAAAATTCGCGGGCGGCAGCCTTGTAATGACAAGCGAAGGGTAGGCCACACTAGATTGAGTGACGATCTAAGAGATTGAAGAGGAAATTGATCGATGCAGGTGGCTCAGGGCCGTTGTGGCATTCCTTGGGGGAGACTTGGAATAATGATGATTAAGGTTTTATGTGTATAGAACTACCTACCCTTTATTTACTCTTCGCTTTTATTGTACCTTATTTGGGTTGTCTGAAAGAAAATAATGTGTAGCAATGATACCATCTTTTGATTTTTCCTCAATATTTGTATGGGATATAGTTCCGTTCTAGGGACACCTCTGATTTAGAGCAAATTTTTTTACATGTTTACCAACATAAACGATGAAAAACCTCAAAGGAAATTTAGGCACAAATTCCCCTGAAAATTTTTAAGAGGGCTTGAAGTTTTAGATTTTTAAGGCAGTTTTTCATGATAAATCGACTAAACCTCACTTTTTTACACAGGAATATTGACCCAAAGTAACTTCTACAACGGCTTCGGCGCTGCGGGAAGTGCAGTCCCTTCACCCTTGCGTAGTGAATCACAGGCACCCATGCTAACCTTCTCAGCTTCGGATTATTGGTCAGCCTCAGTCGCTACGGCTCGCACAGATGCCTGTGACTTGCTACGGCGGGCGGGGGCTGCTCTCCCTCCGCGCCTACGGCTTTACAAAAACACTCTAGGTGTAGGCAGACAAGACTATGAGGAGTTGCGGCGTGCTAATTCAATTTTAGTACAGATTCGATCAGATCAGATATCTAATCGATAAAGTCAGGTTGCCTTCGTTCCCGCCACAACATTCTAACCTATTACAACAGAAAGTATTTCTGAGTGTTCAAGTATTTCTGGGCAGTTTTAAAAAAATCAGAAATTAAACACAGTATATTATAATAGTAAGTAGTAGTAAGTAATTTTGGGTCAATATTCACGTGTAAAAAAGTAAGGTTATAGTCGACGTATCATGAAAAACGGTCTTCAAAATCTAAAATTTAAAAAAAAATTCAGGGTCATTTGCGCCAAAAATCCCTATTGGATTTTTCATCATGTTTGTTGGTAAACATGTATAAATTTGCTCCAAATCGAAGATGTCGCTAGAACGAAACTCTACCTGACATGTGAAGTCCTCCAAAACACACACTGAAGCAGCGTAGCCGACTAGTTGCTCTATACACTTCTCAGATATAAGGGAAGGCCTGTGCCAAATGTTGGAGGGTATATTTGCTGCGACTTTCCTTTTTTGACTTTACTTACATTCACAAAGACAAACCTGCGGGACCATGGTCTCATGGAGCCTCTATCACTGCCACCTGACGGCATATATTGTCATAGCGGCAATTAATTAAAAAAAACACTGTACTTTTTCAGATAAAGAGTTTGACGTTGGATGCTCTTGACGAACCGACGTCAATAAAAGACCAGATCGTGCCACTATTTAAAGCACCCCTTCTCAAATATACTGTGATCATGACTACGCTGTGTCTGTTGCAACTGTGAGTACCACAATTAATCGATAGAGAAAGATAGCATACAAATTAATTATTTAAGGTCTTTACTAATGAAATTGCGGTTCTGCACTACTGGCCATTTCAAATCAAATTAGTTCTGTTTGGCTAAGAATTCTAAATTCAAATTAATTTTATTTCAAAAACATTGAAATTTTTTTTCACAATTAGTCATTTGTTTATTTAGTAGCGATATGTTTATAGAGTTTTGGCGGGAACTTGACCGGCGTCGGTTTGCTGCTCCTGTATTATTGTTTAAATAATGGTTTGAAGTGGACTTTGATATGTAAAAGTGGTGCGATTTTGTGTATTAAGTGTCCGCGCATGTGAACTATTAGTGAAAACTGTGAAACAAGTGCTCTGATGGTGATGTGATTCTCAAAATAAGGTGACTTGAGGATAGTAATCTTATTGAAATTAATATTAATCTTAATTTTTTTTAATTTAGGAGTTAGATTTAAGTGGTAACAAGGAAGTTTGAAGAAAATATTTGCGTGATCCTTCCTCGGTCGAGCAAGCTCAATCGTGCTGCAGTCACTATACGCAGCGCCGTGACTCTACCCCGTAAAAAATTATAATGATTTCAAGAATTGAAAAATTAAAAAACAATCTAAAATGGGCGAGACAGAAATCGAAGGCCAACTCTACATTTGGTCATCTTGGAATATAGCTGTGATACAATTTCCGATGCGTTTCGTTTCTTACAAAACCTCGTAGCTGATGTACCTCGTATATGATACACGTTTTGTGAGCGGCAGTGTGAGCGTACTTTGACACTGTATCAAGATATGACGATGCGATACCATACCTGATACGCCGCTTCCCATCTTCAGTCGGTTTTCCGCCGATCATCAAAGGGGATAGATATTACACGGTTTTGGCTAATTTGGATGTACACATATACATTACATTGCTTTTAAAGTGTTTGCAAATGAATAAAGCAATACAGAAAAGAAAAACACAACCTTCTTTTTGCAGTAGTGTAGCGGGAAAAAATTTTTTTCTTCTCATCTGATGGTAAATTATCACCAAAAACATCTGCAGCAACACGAAAATTACGGCCTGATTCAATTTTTTCAATCGTTTAGTTCAACTAGTTGAACTTATGGGATAATATCGTTGAGTTATATGTACTAGTACTACGTACTAGAGAAGCCATTCCAAACAAAAATTGTGTCCTACTCTATGTATTCGCGCATGCGCGGGAGTAGTAGTGCGCGACTACTACTCCCACGCATGCGCGAAGTCTTTAATTTGATATAAAATAAGATATTAATATAAAATATATATAAGAATTTAATATAAAATATCTTAATTTAATCTAAACAAACATATTATATTTCTAAATAAAATGTAATAATTATTATTTTATGGAATTCAGAAATCTCTAATTTACGCAATATTTAGTTTTTACGGATTGCACTACAGTTCAGTTGAACATAGTCAATGTTCGGAATGGCTTCTCTAGTACGTAGTACATATAACTCAATGGATAATATCTATTATTTGCAAAGTTTAAAAAAATTACTTGAAAGTTGAAAATAATGTACAGTTTTTTTTTTTCTTATTTAAAAGTATACTAATAAACGTTGTTATAAAGTTGTAATAAGTACATAAAAACGCTAGCAAGTACCTATTGCATCATTATTTAATTATTTTTGCACGTTAAACTTGTACGCGAACTCTCCAAAAATAGAGGGATTGTTATCTCATTCTTAAATAACTGAATTTGCATGTCAATAATAATATATATATTAGTCAATTATATATTATAATATTGTCATTATTAATGTACTCTTTGTTACGTCGTTTTGGTCTGTTTTACATTCTCTTGTAGTAGTTTTTCACAGTAAACGCGCCATGTCTTTATAAAGTTGTCGCTTATTAGCCATGGTTTCTCAAAGTAAACAGCAAATTTATTTAAAAAGTTAGTTAAAATTTCCCAGGCCTCCTCTCATTTCTGAGAGGGTTTATTTAAATAAATTATTATTTTCGAAAATTCTATCTTACTCAGAACATAAGCCCATCCTTCTCTAACGTACACTCGTATTTTATATTTTTTAAATATCCAGACTTTGCCAGTTTCAATGTTTCTGCTTTTCTTCGTGCACTGTTAAAATAATGATAGTAGCAGCCTTTAAAAAATAACTTTTATAGCAGCTCTGTTAAGAATTTTTTTTATGTACAAAGTAATGAAATAACCGTCATCAAATAATGGGCTATCTAACACAAAAAGAAGTTTTCACATTGAACTAGTGGTTAGTTCCTGATATTAGCGCGTTCAAACATACTAGTATTATAGTTCACGGTCATATACTAGTATAGATTAAAATTTACGGAACGGTTATCTTCCAATATGTTGAACTTTCCTAAATAATTATATAGTTGAACTGATTGGCATAATGTTGTCTCATATGTTCAACTAGTTTAACTTACGGTTGTACTAATTGGATCAGGCTGAAATTGCAGGTGGGTCGGCGGTATTATATCAACTAAATTACTAAATAATATCGACTGCCTCGTGGGTCTAGTAGTTGTAAATGCGATTGCGGATCATGAGCTCCCATGAAGGTTCGAATCCCAGTTCGGGCCATAAAAATTAGTTATTGAGTAGCAGCCCGTAGTCAGTGTCTCGGAAAGTAAGTAAAGCCATTAGTTCTTCCTTAAAGCCATTAATCCTTCTCTTTATTTCCCTCCGGTCGTGTCGGTTTGACGTCCCATTGCGCTATGCCAGTGAGGGAATGGAGAGTGCATCTGCGCTTGCGGCATACCAATCAGGCGCTATCATCCTACCCTGCGCAGATGGCTAGTCTCAAAAAATTCTAATGTACAGAGCTAATCCTACTAGAGATTAATTATAGAAATAGATTATTTTTTGTAGGCAGTAGAGTCCAAGGGGGAGGCGTTGGCCGTTAGTCTGGACATTGCGAAGGCCTTCGATCGGGTTTGGCACAAAGCGCTTCTTTCGAAGCTCCCTTCCTATGGGCTTCCCGAGAAATTGTGCAATTGGATCACCAGCTTCCTTGCAGATCGGAGCATCAAGGTCGTTGTAGACGGTGCATGCTCTGACTACAAGCCTATTAACGCTGGTGTTCCACAAGGCTGTGTGCTATCACCAACGCTGTTTCTTCTGCATATCAATGATATGTTGCTAACTGGTAACATTCATTGCTATGCGGATGACAGCACTGGTGATGCTCTATACACCGGCCGTGCCAATATTTCTCGGGAAAACGTCGCTGAGTACCGGAACAAACTTGTGTCTGAAGTCGAGTCTTTGCTGAACAAAGTCTCGGATTGGGGGCGACTAAATCTAGTCCAATTTAATCCTCAGAAGACACAAGTTTGCGCGTTTACCGCTAAAAAGAACCCCTTTGTCGTATCTCCTCAGTTTCAAGGCACTCCCCTTCTTGCCTTAGCCAGTATCGGTATCCTCGGAGTCGACATATCGAGTGACGTGCAGTTTCGTGGTCACTTGGAAGGGAAGGCCAAATTGGCCTCTAAAAAGCTTGGCGTGCTCAGCAGAGCGGGACAGTATTTCATGCCGGCACACCGCCTGCTACTTTACAAGGCGCAAGTTCGGCCTCACATGGAATACTGTTCCCATCTCTGGGCAGGGGCTCCCCAGTGCCAGCTCCTTCTACTTGACCGCATCCAACGCAGAGCGGCTCGAATTGTCGACGACCGAGCCCTTTCCGATCGGCTCGATTCATTGGCACTGCGAAGAGATGTTGCATCCCTTTGCATTTTCTTTCGCATCTACGATTAATAAATACAAATACATGAATTACTAGCGTCTATTAAAATGAAGCCTCATTGAAAATAAAATAATATTTCTTTTATGGCAACATATGAAAAAGTGTTTTCCATCTCGCTTCCCTATGCCCGTCAAGGCCGTCTACACTACATCAGTAGGGGTCGTGACGGAAAAATCTTACACTTTCTCTCCGCCAAATTCGTACCGTCTGATAAGGAACTTCGTTCCAATATTTTTATGCAGAATTACAGCGTTCGGAGTCTGGTTGCCGACAATTGTCAATCAATTCATGCAGATTGTGGAGACAGGAGTAGGCACAGACAGGAGTCTGTGCAGCATTATCAGCGATAGTGTCGAAGTACCAGTTGATGTAAGTTTTAAAAAGGGGCTTTTAATAAATGTGTTACATGTTGAGAACTACTAAGAGTACGTGAGTTTTTTTTTTTGTTCTGAATTGATATGATAATAAAATATTAATACAGTAATAAGGGCGGGTCAATAAGTTCGCGTAATAATAATAATAAATCTAGTTTCAGGGGCTGATTTTAAATCATCAAATAAAAGTTATTCATTGCATAAAATATACCACAAACAAAATTTAAAATTATAGATCTACGAATAAAATAGTACAATAATTGTTTTCTTTTATATTTAGGTAAGTAGGTTATAATTTATTAGATGGATAACTTTTATCTGACTGGAAAATCTACCTTTAATAAAGTAATTGTAAATTCATATTCTATACTTAATACACTTTTCACTATAGCTATACTTATTACAATAAATCTGTAGAAAATTCGTGCCTGTAATTCTAATATTTCTTGGAAAAAACAAGTCCAGGGGACTAAATAAAGGATACTGAAGCCAAATTGGTGCTTTTTAGAATTGTTGTCTGTGCGTATGTCTATTACCGATTCACGCAAAAACTATTGTGCGGATTTCCATAAAATTTTGTACGTGTGACCGGGGGCAACTTATGGGCTATTATTCGATTACGGAACTACAAAAAAGGAGAGTAAATATATTTTATCATTGCTTTAGAAGATAATTTTATTTTTCTATATAAAGTCTAAAATTAGCTTTAACCCTTGTGTAATAATTTGAAACACCAAAGATATACGTTTTACGTTTTCAAAACAGCGCCATCTATCATAAAACGGAAACGCAAAAAGTAGTAATATTTTGCCTTCAGCACAGAATAAATAATAGGCCTTCAGTTACTAATTAATTAAATTGGTCAGCGCAGCGAACGCTCTTCTGCCCCAAAACGCTCTGTGGCTTGTGCCCATTGTGGGATGAATGTAGGCTGCTACTTTTTTACTTTTTATGGGGCTACAATGCAGTTTTTATTTTATTCATGTTTTCGGAGATGTTACAATTTCGTTTTCATTCTAACTTTGAATATGAAGGGTAACGAATTACCATTTGCAGCCAGACGTCGCACCGTGCGCCCTGAACGTATCATCACTTCTGTTGGTACTGTCAATGGGTGCTCTGCGGTCGTTCCTTAACATATTGCTAAGTTTGGTAAGTCTATAGTAAGTACAGTTTATAGTACAATATATATAAAAGTCCTTTTATTTTACGTATTTAAAAGAAAAATAAATCTACCCTTAACTTTACGTTAAGTCGTTTATACAGTTCATTAGGAAGTCTTAAAATTAACCGTCAATATTTCTGAGACACTTATTAAGTTACTCTCGTGGTCTCAATGGATCGTCCAAGTCTTTTAAATCCACTCGATATAAGCTTTTTTAATAATAATACACCAGTTGCTGCATTCTTCCATATTCACCATCAACACATATAACGGAGACCCTCACACTGGTGTACTGCTGCGCCTCCTTACCAGTCGATGTAATTCGAACTAACCGGATTTGGATGCACATTTCCTTATCAACCGATCGGCAATACCTAACCTTTGTCTGTCAAGAAGCGGGATACTATACAAGGTGATGTTGGTATTTAAAAAAATAACATATAAATTCTTCCATACGCACCTTGATGTAATAAAAAGATATAGATTCAAAAAGAAATTGTTGCGTTAAAATGCAGGTGGTGAACAGAGTTGGCTACCGCAACATGGCCATATGCTTTACAGTTGTGTGTGGAGTGTCAGGCATCATGGTGAACCTCATACCCAACGCCTACGCTAGCGTCGTTTTCTTCATGATCTTCATGACTGGAGCGTTGGTTACGGGAATGTACGTGGCCCTTACCGTTGCGTTGTTCCCCACTCATCTCAGGTGATCTCCCGTTTGTTTATTTAATACATTTGTAAGGTTCTTTAATTATTACACTTATATTTTTATATATTATAAATTAATAAATAAAACTAAGGTTACAGTTCTTACACGTCCCACTACTACTCCTCTTATTTCTATGAGGGTTTGAGGGCAAGGTGGTGTCCGTCACAATCCCCATGGTTGTTAGGAGATACAGGTTGTCCACCATGTTTTCTATCGTCGTCAAGTACGTGGTAAATGAGCACTTGAATTGTAATTAGCTATTGTGAAATTTATTGCAGGCGTTTAGCCCCCGAGCTGACCACAACTCTTAGTTATTAAAGATGACTTTCATACAGTTTTCGTTTCACGTAATTGACAAGAATAGAATAGAATAGAATAGAATAGAATAGAATATTTTTTTATTCAATATACATTACATATGTAATTCTTATTGAAAGTCATTTTTTACTTTACCACTGGTTCGAAAAAACCCTCTGTCCTGGGAAGAACCAGCAAGAAACCCAGCGGGACTTTTTTTTTAAAATAAATTTTACAATATAAATGATTACGAACTATTTACAAAATTTATTTTAGAAACTGCTTGGAAGCGACCACCTCATTCCCAGGGGTTATTATCAACCATGTATTCATTTATACTATAATAACCCTTTTTATACAGTTTCAGCTTAATAAAACATTTAAACTTGGTAATAGAAGCATTCATTACAAGCATTCAAATACATGCATGTAAATCTCTTTTGTTGTTAAATTTCCTTATTTTTTGAGCGCACACATTACATTTTCTTAAATCTATTGCGAGGTCAGTAATAAATTGATCTTATTGCCCCGTTATGTTAAATAAACTCGTCGCTTCAATGTCAATTACATTTCTCATGAAATTACTGATTATTCCTGTATGAAGTTTTCCTACCGTGTAGTGGCGGTGTAAAAATATCCACTACCCCATATTATCATCCCGTAGGTGTCGTAACAGGCGACAGAGGGAAAAAATCAGGAGACGGGCAGCAGCGTCTTCCTAATAACAACGAATACTACAAAAATAAAAATTGAACTGCGGTCGCCAACCGCTTTCCAAGCGTCACCAACTACGACAAATAACCCCGCTAGGAAGCAATCTATGGGGGAGGACTATGTTCAGCAGTGGACTTTACTAGGCTGTAACGGAAGTTTTTCTGTTTTTAATTTTATGTTTTTAAGTTATGAATAGAAATAGGCATCGAGAAAACGTAGTTATTTCCCGATTGCCCCAGATGGAGGGTAATGTTTTTAGTGAGTGTGTATGTATGTCTATTTATTTGGCACGCTCCGTAGACGAAACGGCTTGTTGGATTTCAACATAATGTGAGGTGTAGTTAAATTCTTCTTAACTGTGGGAGTGACATAAGATGTAAAATGTTTCTTTTTTCAGTTAACTTTTTACGCAGTCGAGTTTTTTTACTGTTTCACTTTTGAACTTGTTTCAGATTTCATTTCACGTTAAATTATTACAGAGGTATTGTCTTTGAATTCAAACGTGTTACAGGGCGCTGGCCGTGGCTCTAACATCGACTGGAGGAAGTATTGGAATGCTTGCTTCGGTACCGATCCTCAACCGGCTGCTCGAGGTCAACTGCAGTGCTGGTTTTTATACATTCAGTAGCATTTTTCTTTGTACGTATTTTTGCTCAGTCTCTTCTTTTTTTAATTAGGGTGACAAACGAGCACTCAGTCCACTTGTTGGTAAGTGTGCCCCATAAACTTCTACATTTATCCTCGATTAAGAATCAAAGTGCAGATGTATTGTCACCCCTGAGGACTAAGATGGAGTGCCTCGTATCCAGTAAAAAGGGGTTCCGGTTCTCTACACTCGCCATACGAAAAACAACAGCTTTTATGCTGGTTTTCTGAGAAAGCGTGGTCCTTCCCCGGCCTATCCGACCTATTCGTGCTTCAACCATAATATAGTTGCATCATGGCTCTACCACGTAGAACAACAATATTTTCTATCTTCGGAGTGATTTAATTAATACATAAGACCATGAGTACAAGGTGATAAATTTACACTAATTTTGTGGTTTCATATATTTTTATAAAGATATAGAATAAACGTGTAAAAATGAGCACCAATGGTAAGTGGATGCTGGTGCCAACAGACGTCTACATCTATCTTCGATTAAGAATCAAAATGCAGATGCGTTGTCATCCCTAAAGGCTAAAATGGAATGCCTCGTTTCCAGTAAAAAGGGCTTCGGGTTCTCTACACTCACGATAACTCACAACACAGCAGCATTGAACTACTATTTCTCGTTGGTATTGTGTAACGGCGTTGATTTATTAAAAAAATTATCAAAAGCAGCATTATTAAAAAAGATTTATTAAAAAAATATGTGTATATTCTCTCATGGCCTTTCCAAGTGGCCTGCATTTCTTAAAATATTTGTCCATACTCATCAAGCTAGGTTGATAACTTCACATTGGTAATGAAGATGAACAGTATTTCCAATGCGAGGGTATGGCCTCTGTGCTCACTAACCCACTCGACCAGTGCGATAAGTATTTGCAATTGTTTTAGGTTGGACATGCTAGCTGTCGCTCTTGAAAACGCCTATGTCTCTTCTTCGTTATCTATCTGTGTCTATCTACTGCTAGAAATATGCTTCTCCCAGTGTAGATGTTTTTTTATAAAAAAAAAACGAGCACACAGTCCACCTGATGGTAAGTGGTTTTTTTTTTTTTTTTTTTTTTTTTTTATAAGATAAGGGTGACAAACGAGCACACAGTCCACCTGATGGTAAGTGGTTGCTGCGGCCCATAGACATCTACATCTATCCTCGTTTGCGAATCAAAATGCATATGCATTGCCACCCGTGAGGACTAAGATGGAATGCCTCATTTCCAGTAAAAAGGGCTTCCGGCCACCTGCACTCACCAAGCGAAACACAAAGGTAAACCTCTACTTCACGCTGGTATTCTGTGAGGTCGTGGTACCACCCCGGTTCGAGCCGGCCCATCCGTGCGACAGCAAAAGTTGCCGCGTGGCTCTACCACTGTTAAAGTGACCCATAGAAATCTACATCTATCCTCAATAAAGACTCAAGATGCAGATGCGTTGTCACCCGTGAAGACTAAGATGGAATGCCTCTTTGCCAGTAAAAAGGGTCTCCGGTTCTCTACACTCACGATACGAAACACAGCAGCGCTAAGCTACTATTTTACGCTGATTTTCTGTGAGAGCGTGGTCCTTCCCCGGTCGAGCCGACCCATTCGTGCTACAACTATACTACTAATATAGCTGCAGCATGGCTCTACCACGTAAAACCGTTTGCTGTAACCGTTATCGTTTACGAGATGTTAAACCATCGCCAAGAGATCTTGTTAGCTTTTCTCATAGTTGCCTTCTATACTATCCCTTCCTATAGTCTCGCCTACTTCTAGCGGTAGTTTCAAAAGGGTTATAAAGTAAAATTATTTTGTTCCGTTTCAGCATCAGCGTTCATAGCTGCGTTTTTACCTAATGACAGTTGTTTATTGAAAAAGAAACTGGAACAGATAGAAAAAAATACAAAAGATGAAAAATTAACACAGTGCACTTAGTTTTTATTATAGTTTAAGTTAATGTTATGTTGTAAATAAAGTACAATTAAGTTACTATGTAAATCTTTATTTTGTTTATTTATGTAAATAATTGTGTAATTAAAACATGTAATTTGTGAGATTCTTTCCCCAGTTTTTTCAATGGAATAGGAAAATTCCTAGTAATGCAATTTGGTAATCCGATAATATAAACCTTGTGGCGGAATGGAGTTACGACAGTAAGAGTCGACAGAGGGAAACAAACCAGGAGATGGGCAGCAGCGTCTTCCTAATGACATATAAAAAATAATAAAAATCTACGTTTGCTCAGCCGCCTGACGAGTGTGGCAACTAACAAAACTCCTCCCCTATGAGGCAATACATGGGGGAAGCCTATGTCCAGCAGTAAACCTTTGATAGCCTGTAACGCTACGGTAAGTCATAATATGATCACCACTAACCTACTTATGTACTCGTATTTTTGCCGCTGAGCATTCATTGTTGTGTTTAGATTTAAAGCAACCGAGAACAAGTTCTACGTGTAGAGTAGATAATGATACAATAAATGTTAGTCCTCTGGGGTGACTTTACATCAGTAGCCATTCTTCAAGTTGTTTGCGCATGTCCCTAGGCTGCTGTAGTCACTATCATGTGAACTGTCTGCTATTGTGTCATTATAGAGGATGATTTTAGAACCTTTTTTATAGAATAAGAGTGACAAACGAGCACACAGTCAGTGGTAAGTTGTAGTTGTGGCCCATAGACATCAACATCTCAGCCGTGAGAACTAAGATGGAATGCCTCTTTTCCAGTAAAATGGGTCTCCGGTTCTCTACACTCACCATACAAAACACAGCAGCATTAGGCTGCTATTTTACGCTGGTATTTTGTGAGAGCGTGGTCCTTCCCCATTCGTGCTACAACTATAAGTATATACAATTAACATAGCTGCAGCATGGCTCTATCAAGTTAAAAAGATCTGAGCCATTAAAACAGATCTGCGACGCAAACGACATCTTTTCTATAATGATTTCTTATATTTACGCGAACACTACACATTTACTTTATTTATTTATCTAACGGTGGTAGAGCCACGCAGCAGTTTTTGCTGTTGCATGTATGGGCCGGCTCGAGCCGGGTTGGTACCACAACCACACAGAATACCGGCGTGAAGTAGAAGCTCTGCTTCTGCGTTTCGTCTGGTGAGTGCAGGTGGCTGGAGGCCCAATTCCCCCCCCCCCCCCCCCATCAACATGGTAGCGGAATTACACGATGAACTACCCCAGGAGGGTACCAGTACCCCTGGAGAATCCCTCGCTGAGCATCCACGACCATGTTATTCCGATCCTGAGCGTGGGTGCTCAGGCTGCCCCGCTTATTCTGAGGGGGGCAAAATTCCGCTCAAAAGCATAACTGCTAGGGGCAAACTGAGCAAGAACACCAAGGCGACCCCTGCCACGCTATCCGTGAATTTCTGCAACATCAGGGGACTTCACTCTAACCTAAACGCCGTCCACTACCATCTCGAGACGGCGAAGCCGGCCTTGCTCTTTCTGACCGAGACGCAGGTTTCCTCTCCGGCTGATATTTCGTATCTCTCCTACCCGGGGTACAAATTGGAGCATTCCTTTGTGCCTCGGTTTGGAGTTTGCGTGTATGTCAGAGAGGACATCTTTTCTCGACGCCTCGGCAGTCTTGAAGGTTCGGACCTGTCCATCCTTTGGCTACGCGTAGACAGCGACGACCATCCGCGCATCTACGGGTGCCTCTATAGGTCCCATAGCGGTAATGCCGATACAGACCGACTCATCGACCACGTCCAAATGGCTACAGATTCCTTGCTACAACAGGTCCCATCCGCAGAGATCGTGATCCTTGGCGATTTTAACGCCCACCATGCCGAATGGCTCGGTTCACGTCTAACCGATCATGCGGGAAGATCTGTTTATGACTTTGCCTTGGCATATGGTCTGACACAACTGGTTACTTCGCCTACGCGGATTCCAGATGTGGAGGATCATACACCTTCCCTGTTGGACCTTCTGCTGACCTCTCATCCGGACGGATATCAGGTTTCCGTCGATGCCCCTCTCGGCTCTTCGGACCATTGTCTGATCCGGAGTGTGGTGCCACTCACGCTCCCTTCGCGGTTGCGTTCTGCAGGTTGCCGCCGTGTTTGGCGGTCTTTCTTTACATCCTACCCATGGGGGCGGGTTTGCTTCTCGCCGGATGATCCCAGCGCTGTTGCTGACTCTGTCACTGATGTGGTGCTACAGGGAATGGAACTATTTATTCCATCATCTGTGGTACCCATCGGAGGCAGATCTCAGCCTTGGTTTGGTAGCTCCTGTAAGACTGCATTACGCAGTAAGCAGGAGTGTTATCAAGCCTGGGCTGCGGCTTCGGCGACCCGGGATGTAAACACCAGCACACTTAAAATGAAGTATAACTTCGCCTCCAGGTCCTTCAAAAGAATTATTGCCAAGGCAAAGTCAGAGCACATAGGCAGAATTGGCGAGAAACTAGTTCACCTTCCTTCGGGAAACCGTGCATTCTGGTCTCTCGCCAAGGCTGTCCAAGGCAATTTCTGTAAGCCATCACTACCATCTCTGCACAGGGAGGATGACTCACTGGCCCAAGACGCAAAAGACAAAGCCGACCTTTTAGGCTCCCTTTTTGCGTCCAACTCGACTCTTGATGACGGGGGGAAAACACCGCCGACCATCTCACGGTGTAAGTGCTCCATGCCAGCGCTCGATTCGCAAAGCACTGCTCTCCCTGGACATCCAGAAGTCGAGTGGGCCTGACGGAATCCCCCCAATTGTGCTTAGGACGTTTGCTCCGGAGTTGGCACCGGTCCTATCGCGTCTTTTCCGGTACTCCTACTCCCAAGGCGTAGTCCCGAATTCATGGAAGACAGCTTTTGTCCACCCGATCCCTAAAAAAGGCGACCGCTCAGACCCATCCAACTATAGGCCTATCGCGATCATCTCCTTGTTCTCCAAAATAATGGAATCCATTATTAACTGCCAGCTCATCCATCCGGTACCTTGAGGATCACCAGCTGATTAGTGACCGCCAGTACGGTTTTCGTCGGGGTCGATCAGCTGGTGATCTTCTGGTCTACCTGACCCATAGATGGGCGGAGGCAGTAGAGTCCAAGGGGGAGGCGTTGGCCGTTAGTCTGGACATTGCGAAGGCCTTCGATCGGGTTTGGCACAAAGCGCTTCTTTCGAAGCTCCCTTCCTATGGGCTTCCCGATAAATTGTGCAATTGGATCACCAGCTTCCTTGCAGATCGGAGCATCAAGGTCGTTTTAGACGGTGCATGCTCTGACTACAAGCCTATTAACGCTGGTGTTCCACAAGGCTGTGTGCTATCACCAACGCTGTTTCTTCTGCATATCAATGATATGTTGCAAACCGGTAGCATTCACTGCTATGCGGATGACATCACTGGTGATGTTCTATACACCGGCCGTGCCAATATTTCTCGGGAAAACGTCGCCGAGTACCGGAACAAACTTGTGTCTGAAGTCGAGTTTTGCTTAACAAAGTCTCGGATTGGGGGCGACTAAATCTAGTCCAGTTTAATCCTCAGAAGACACAAGTTTGCGCGTTTACCGCTAAAAAGAACCCCTTTGTCGTATCTCCTCAGTTTCAAGGCACTCCCCTTCTTGCCTCAGCCAGTATCGGTATCCTCGGAGTCGACATATCGAGTGACGTGCAGTTTCGTGGTCACTTGGAAGGGAAGGCCAAATTGGCCTCTAAAAAGCTTGGCGTGCTCAGCAGAGCGGGACAGTATTTCATGCCGGCACACCGCCTGCAACTTTACAAGGCGCAAGTTCGGCCTCACATGGAATACTGTTCCCATCTCTGGGCAGGGGCTCCCCAGTGCCAGCTCCTTCCACTTGTCCGCATCCAACGCAGAGCTGCTCGAATCGTCGACGACCGAGCCCTTTCCGATCGGCTCGATTCATTGGCCCTGCGAAGAGATGTTGCATCCCTTTGCATTTTCTTTCGCATCTACCATGGGGAGTGCTCTGAGGAATTGTTCGGATTAATCCCAGCCGCCAAATTTCACGAACGCACATCGCGGCAGAACTCCCGATACCATCCACACCATCTGGATGATTGGCGGTCCACCACTGTGCGATTTAGAAGATGTTTTCTTCCTCGCACGACCTCCTTGTGGAATCGATTACCATCAGCGATTTTTCCGGACCGATACGACTTAGGGACCTTCAAGAAAAGAGCGTACTCCTTTTTGAAAGGCCGGCAACGCATCTGCGATTCCCCTGGTGTTGCGGTTGTACATGGGCGGCGGTAGTCACTTACCATCAGGTGAGCCGCCTTTTAAAACGTCACCAGGCATATTTTATTTTTATTTTATAAGAAAGAATTTTGGAACATTCAACCCCTAAGGAAGTGAAATACGGTGTCACAGTTTGTATGAAACTCTTTATTTTACGGGGCGTTCGACCTGTAGTTCGACTCGAAACTTACTAAAGGTACTCTGTTAATAAAATAAATGTTTTTTTTAAACGCAAACAATCTCGGGATTACTGCTGATAATTTCCACTGTCATTTTCGATTTAACATTTCTTCCTTCTTCCGTAATTTATCACCTTCCTTTGTTAGTGATTACTTCAAGGGCCTATCTTGATAAATAAAGAAATGAATGAGAAAGTTACTCCCAGCGTGGTCGTTATTTATTAGTAAACGCAAATAACATACGGAAGAATTTAAATAGAATAATTTTAGCAGGGGAAATTTCATAGAATCATAGCTGACGTCTACTAGACGAAAGAAATATTTCTACCAAATTTCAAGTCTAGGCGTTATGGTTCCAGAGATATCGATATGAGTCAGTACATAGATGGAAATCTCATAATATCCGTACAAAGTTGGTCATAGTCAACTATGACCATCTTTGAACGGACTTGGCATGTGAATGATATGATTTTTTTTTGTATTATTTTCAAAATAGAAAGGTTTTTTAACATTTTATAATGCCAGTCCCCATAAGTCTGATTTGAAAATAATAAGTCCTTCAGTTACCACTATCATGTTCGGGCCCATTTTTAATCCTTACTGCGGTCAAACCCCGAACTCACGTATTATGCTCATTAGCAAGAAAGCCCACGTATTGTGACGGGTAACTACGGAACGCTACCTTTACATTGTGCGTGGCTCGACTCGCACTTGGCTAGTTTTTTCTTTCACTTGCTACACCTACTTCAAATTGTCACCATTCCATGGGTGTTGACTGGTAGAGAAGGCCTCTAGGCATTAAGTCCGCCCTTAGTATCCCTTTTTAAGGGAATGCAATAAATACTTTAAAATAAAAATAAAATATTTATCTAGGGATCAGTGCGTTAGCGGAGTAAAGAAACCCGCCATCCCACTTCTTCATGTGGGTGTTGTATGTGGAAATGGCTATAAAGATCTCCAGCAGATGGTGGTATCGCAGCCAATCTCAAGTGTACTGCCAGGTATAGGACTCTCTCAAAGACTGCGAAAAAAACATAGTTATCAACGTCGATCGACTTTTTGCGTGTTTTAGGTACAGTAGTCGTTTCATTTAGCTTAGTTATTTATTATTATGTCCAGATGTCTTGTGTTGTGTATTGTGAATTTAAATTTCCTTCTTATACTAAATGTTTTAGTTACTGTAGAATAAAACACTTGTGTTGATTGTTCCACGTCTATTCACAAGCCTTTCCTAACCATCTACATACCTTTGACATCTATCTCTTATAATAATAATTAAATGCCACCTACCCTACAAACCATATAATATATTACACCTTCCCCCTTATTTTAACAAAATGACAAGTTCTTTTATAATATAACGTTACAAAATACATTAAGTAACAATGAAGTACAATGTATAACTTAACATAAAAACAATAATAACAGGGTACACTTAATAATTAACTTATAGTGATCAATCAAACTCTAGAGACCGTATTTCTTAGGGGATAGCGCCGTGTCAGTCCGGGCGTATAACTTTGTGGTTGTATGGTATTATTAATATCTGCTGTTGTCGTACCCACCTGGACTCCTGCACCCTCCTCCATCGAGCCTGTTGACTGCTCCAAGACCTTGCCTGGTTTATCGCTCTGCCTGGACATTGCATCTAGAAATGGGTTAAATGAACTGCGCCTGCATTTCTCGCACTGTGTGGGCGAGTCATTCAAATCAACATTAAACTCATGTCTTAATTGGTCTGCGTGTCTATGATGTAAGATTCCGTCGATACCTAAAATTCCATAATCCGTATTACCCAAATTACACTGAATTTTACCCTCTAACCATTTCCTTCCCGCGCCATAGTTACGGTACCAAATTGTGTCCCCTTCCCAAAAATTCCGATGCAGAGCTCCTGATGCTAACTGCTGACGTTTCTGTGAGGTGTGAACGCGATCTGCTCGCTCGGGTTTTAAGCAGTCAAGTCGCATACGTAACGCGCGGTCTTATAATCATTTTGCTGGACTCTCTATCGTGGTACAGTGTTCAGTATTTCTACATACCAAAATAAATCTTAGGAGCGCAACGTCCACGTCTAAGTTCTGTCCTGTCTGTCTGTATACCCTTTTTAATTACGTTTTTGCAGGTTTTAACCGCATTTTCAGCTGCTCCGTTGGACGAAGGATGATACTGCGCTAAATACGTGTGTTCTATCCCGTTAGTCACTAAAAATTGTTTAAATTCTGAACTCGTGAAGGGTGGGCCGTTATCTGAAACTAATTGTATTGGTAAACCAAACCGCGACCATAATTCTCGTAATGCTTTAATCACTGATTTGGAATTCATTTTAATTACTTCCAACCATTTAGAGCAAGCGTCTATGACCACCATGTAAACGTTGAACCCGGGCGGTAAATCTGCCGTCTCTGCACATACTCGACATGACCGACATAACTTTTCTATTTCTTCATCTTTACCCGGCCACCATGCGTAGCTACGTACTAAACTTTTCGTTTTAACAATACCCATGTGAGAGTCGTGTAACTCTTTTAAAACTTTGGCCCTACAGGCGCTAGGAATAACCACCCGGTGACCCCATATTATACAATCTAGTTCCGATAAAGTTCGTTCTTTCTATTTAAATATGGTTTTAATTCTTTATTATCCACTTCAGATGGCCAGCCATCTCCTATGTAACTTATGACTCTGCTTAAAATAGTGTACAGTTTCCTTTTTAAGTGAAAGCAATCTATCTAATAATCTAAAAGCAATGTTTCCGATACAAAATGCAAATATGTTTGTTCCGGCACATCACATTGTTCAGAAAAAACTTGTACTTTATAAGTTTTTATTATACGAGATAACGCGTCTGCTGTATCAAATAATATATACACTACGGCTGTATTGCGATCCGTACTTATAAATTCAATTGTAAAATTGTATGATATTAATATTATGGGTTTGGATTCTCAATAAAATGTTTTCTTGATAATAAATCTTTTATTTAGTATCTATGCACATTCACGGTAAGAAGTTCTACAGTTCTACAAAGCAACAACGCCATCTGGCTGCCAAAAAAAAATATAAATGAATGCGTTCAGATTTAAATTTTCTTTTTCTAAATTTAACACTCCCACTAAAATTTAAATCTCTTAACTAATTATCTGATCCCTTATATAAGTAAAAGTTTGAGTGGACAATGCCTTAGTCAATATATCTGCAAATTGATTTTTACTAGGAACATAATTAATTTTAATCATGCCCAACTCAACTTTTTCTCTAATAAAATAGTATTTAACATCTATGTGCTTCGTTCTTTTATGATAAACAGGATTATTTATTAGTTTTATCGCACTTTGATTATCAATAAACATAGTTACACATTTACAATTTTCACCTAAATCTAACATTAATTGCCGCAGCCATATCATTTCTTTTGCTGCTTCACATGCAGCTACAAATTCTGCCTCAGTAGTGGAGAGAGCAATGGTCTTTTGTTTTTGGCTGGACCAAGTAATTGGTCCACCGTTCATCATAAAAATATAGCCTGTTGTTGACTTACGTGTATCGACATCACTTGCATAATCAGAATCAGAGTAACCTATTAAGCCATCTTTTTCTCCATACTTTATACACAAATCTTTAGTATTAATTAAGTATCTAACTATACGTTTGACAGCATTTACTTAATTTACTTAATACATTCACAGCAAATGATATGTCAGGTCTAGAAACAGAACACAAAAATAATAAAGAACCAATAAGTTCCCTATATGGAAAATTAATAATGTTTTCATCCTCATTCTTTGTCATAATTACATTGACATCTGCTGGAGTACTAGTTGGAGTTGCATTTGTCATACAAAATCTCTCAATAATTTGTTCTATATAATCTCTTTGGTGAATATGGATACAATTATTTATTCTCTCAATTTCCATACCAACAAAATATCTCAATGGCATCACTTTTATTTTAAAAGCTTGTTTCAAAAATTCTATAATTTCTTGGATCAGTTGTTTACTAGAAGATATTACAAGGGCATCATCAACATAAATAATTAAAATTACTTTTATCTTATTGAAAACCCCTATAAAAATACAATTACCAGCCTGAGATTGTACAAAACCATATTTCATTAAAAACTCAGTGAACCTTTTGTTCCAACAACGAGAGGCCTGTTTCAAACCATATAAAGATTTATTTAATTTTAACACATAACTTTTATCTAAAATTACACCCTCAGGCACTTCTATAAAAATATTTTCCTCAAGATAACCATTAAGAAAGGCAGTCTTTACATCAAACTGTTGAATTTCTAACTTATACTTTGCTGCAATAGAAAGAATAATTCTTATAGAGTCATACCTAGTAGTTGGAGAAAATATTTCTTGGTAGTCCACATCTTTAATCTGAGTAAACCCTCGTGCACACCGACAAGCCTTGTACCGTGTCTGATTATCTTCATTCTTCTTGATTGCGAAGACCCACTTGGTAGTAAGGGTCCGCTGACCAGCTCTTGTTACCGCACTCCATGTGTTGTTCTCTTCATGTGCAGATAATTCTTCCCTAATGGCTTGAGACCATTCATTTTTCTGTGGACTTTGTATGGCTTCATCATATGTCCGAGGCAATGACAATTCAACAAGGTTAGCTTCAAAACGTCTATTATTTCTTGGCCTCAAATTTATGTTACACTGTGGCACATCTTCTATTTCTTGAGACGGCTCCTATGTAGGATCATCACTGTTGCAACTCAATAAGCTGTCATCAGATTGTAATGCTACAGTTTCCATTAGTGTTTCATCCACATTTCTTGCTTCAGTTTCATCATTTTGTATCTTTTCTTCATTTTCATCAGTTATACATATCTGATTAATATTCTTTCTTATTGCTGGAGTTTGATGTTCATCAAAAATCACATTTCTTGAAATTTTGATTGACTTATTATTTACATCATACATTCTGTAATTGGTATTATCATAGCCAACAAGCATCATTTTTTTACTCTTCTTTTCTAATTTAGTTCTCAATTGATCTGGAACATGTACATATCCAACGCTGCCGAACACCTTCAAATGACCTAATTGTGGTTTGATACCATTCCATAATTCATATGGTGTTTTACCCGGAGTCTGGCTTGAAGAAGTTCTCTTCAATATGTAAACTGCACAGCTCACCGCTTCAGCCCACAGCTCCAGTGGAACATCTCTTGCATACAACATGGAGCGAGCACTTTCTACTATGGTTCTATTTTCTCTTTCTGCTCGTCCATTTTGTTCTGGTGAATAAGGAGCAGTTAGCTCATGTACTATCCCCTCTTTGTCCAAATATTCCTTGAAAACTTTGTTTACATACTCTCTACCATTATCAGTATGTAATATTCTTATACTGTGCATGTATTTATTCTTCACAATACTATTATATTTCTTAAACATTTCCATAACATCACTTTTGTTTTTTATTAAATATACATGCCTGTAACTAGTTACTGCATCTTTGAACAAGACAAAATATCTCATTCCTTGAACTGATGTGCAAGACATTGGTCCACAGACATCACTGTACACTAAGTCTCCAGGTTGTAGTTCTCCTCGTACAGATTTGTGAAATGGAAACCTGCACTGCTTTCCGTATGCACATGCCTCACATACAAAATTGTTTTTATCATTGTCATTAATTTCCAAACCTGTAACAACATTATTTGCACACATACTCTTAATTTCTTTTAGGTTTAGATGTCCCAGTCGCTCATGCCACATTTTGATATCACTTTGATTATTCTGGACCAAGTTGCAAATATCTGGGGTGATTGCTTTTATATTCAGCTCATATAAATTATTTTCTCTGATCCTGGCACTCATAACCACTTGATTATCTTTATAGATCAATGCATTTGAATCTTTCTTTATAATAGTGTAATCTCTTCTTATTATGGCACCTTCTGAGAATAAGTTTCTTCGCAGACTTAGGACATACAACACATCAAGTAGTTCACTGGATTTCCACTGTCCATTTATATATCTTTTTATCAACACTTTACCAATGTCACACACTTCTACAGACTGTTTGTTTCCTAAAGTTATTATCTTCTGACTGCATTCAACCAATTCCATAAAGAATTCCTTTCTATAAGTCATATGTGCAGAGGCTCCACTGTCTAGAATCCAAGTATTCTCTTCTGTGCTAGACGCGTTATTCTCTACATAAAACGCTAACATATCTGCACCTTCTTGTTGAGGTTTTCTTGACTTAAATTTTCTTGGAGCACGACATTCTCTAGCAAAGTGTCTTCGCTTTCCACAGTTATAACATTCAAACCTGTGTTTGGTATTTTTATTTTGATTTACTCCACTCTGCATCGGCTCACTTTGTTTTGATTTCAACTTCTATCCTTTATTAGCAACAAGGAGAGCTGTTTCTTGTTCTTCTTCGCCTACTAAACTTGCTTCTTCATCTAAGAGGCGAGCAGTCAAATTCACAATAGTCTGTTGTTTTGAATCCAATGACATCCACGCTTGGCGTAGTGATCTGTACTTAGGTGGCAATGTTCCTAAAATTTTTGTTATGATGGCCATGTCACTGACAGTCTCACCACTCTCTTTTAGTTGTTTAGCCAGGGATTCCACCTTTGAGATATGTTGAGCTACACTGTCACCCGGCAACATTTTATACTGATAAAACTTTTCATGGACTAGCATTTTACACAACTCACTCTTTTGTTCGTATACCGATTCAAGTTTTGTCATTATTTCCTTGGCAGTCTCACAATTCTCTATTAATGTTATTTGTTTGAAATCCATTGACGAAGTCATGATGAAAATTGTCATACCATCATTTTTCGACCATTCAGCACTGTTTTGTTCCGTTCTTGGCAATCTGATATCAATTCCTTTTGCCTTTAAAGCGCATTTTATCTGGAATTTCCACTGGCGAAAATTATTTCCATCAAATTTCTCGAGATTCATTGACCGCGTGGTATCCATTTTTAGGTTATTTGTCAATGAATATTCCGTACTATTCGTAGCTGTTGTAATATGCTTCTTTACCTTTCCTTTCTATTAACAGTGTCCTGGGCCCATAACCTATTAATATTATGGGTTTGGATTCACAATAAAATGTTTTCTTGATAATAAATCTTTTATTTAGTATCTATGAGAAAAAGTTGAGTTGGGCATGATTAAAATTAATTATGTTCCTAGTAAAGATCAATTAGCAGATATATTGACTAAGGCATTGCCCACTCAAACTTTTACTTATATAAGGTCACTCAATAAGTTTTAAGATGCTCAAAATTTAAAAATGGAACGCACCCGTGTTATATATTTCTTAAAAGCAAATTTAAAAAAAAAATAGAACTCCTTAAGCCAATGAGGATATCCACAACATTTTCTGCCACCAGAGCGGCGCCACTAAAACGTGAGGTATAATATTTGACAGATTTCATAGCGGGGAAGTTAATTTATTCGGAAAATGTAAAGGTTACTGTTTCTTTCTGCACTATTAACTATATTTTATATTAATAAGATTAAAATAAATAAACCAAACAACAGATATTCATAAAAGTACAAAAATTTAAAAAAAGTTAATAATGTGCAAAAAAAATTAAAGAGCAAACCACTGACGCATTGTTTTGTGTATTAATTTAATAGAGTATAAACGGAAAAACTTTTATTAAAAACCAAATTCTCAATTAAATTACACCATGTAACAAAAAACTTTACCTCAGTGTCAACTAGCGACATCTGGTGAGCAGAAAATTATACATAATACATACATAAACACACACGCCTGTCACCCAGAGGGGTAGGCAGAGACTACGGACTTCCATTTGGCGCGATCCTGATACACCTCTCTCGCCTCTTTTACATCCATATATCTACGCATACACGCTCGTCGGTTAAGGGTACTCCTAATCTGGCCCATTTTTAATGTATCGCCGATTTGGTCGATAAACCTTCGTCTAGGGCGTCCCTTCCCGATCCTGCCGTTCACTTCTGCAACATAAATTTGCTTTGTCACTCTTTCCTCGTTCATTCTTTCTACATGACCAAACCACCGAAGCATTCCTTTCTTAATCCTTGTCACAACGTCATCTTGCAAACCGACCTTTTGTCTTATCACACTATTTCTCACCCTGTCATTCAGATTCAGCACTAGCATACTCCTTAAGGACCGCATTTCTACAGCATTTATTCTACTCTCATGCTTCTTCTGCCAGACCCAACTTTCACTAACATACATTAAATATATAATACCATACAGAACATTGCTCAATATTAAAAAAAAATAAAGTTCCATTAAATTTCCTGCAACGCTTCCCGCGCTTTTCATTTAAAATGATGGAACCGTGAATTTGCGCGCTATGATATATTATGATTTTAAATTTGCTTTAACCGAATAATTAAGTTTACAACGGTTACAATCAGCATTCAGCTCCATCACGCGCAACAATTTTTAGGTGGTTTGCTGAATTCCAAAGTGGTAAAATTAATCTTAAAATTGACCAAAGAACCGGGGCCCCGCAAATAGCAGTATCGGCAGAAAATGTATGGCATACTGAAATGTTGGTGCGAGGAGACCCACGAATCACATATACGGACATCGAAAAGATTGTAGGCATTAGTTCGGGGAGCATTTATACCATCCTACATCAACATCTTGGAGTGAGGAAGCTTTGTTGTCGATGGATCCCTCGTGTGGATTGGTGCCATGAAATGCGTCTACGTTTTGAAAAAAATATAGATTTAAATATAGATTTATATATAATAAAATAAAATATAGATTTCTACAATAAAATAAAATATAGATTTCTACAATAAAAAAAGCATGTATATTCCCTATTATTATATCGTAAAACATTACAAACTAAGTAACCTTCAACAACATTATCGATACTTTGATGTCGAAACGGTAACTTTCCTAAAACAGGTTTTTACTTTAAATTTACTAGCGTCACCTATTGGGGAATAGCTGAAACGTTTTCCTTATAAATATTAAGCGTAGTTTTGCTATGTTTCGCTAGAGAGCGTCACATACGTGCGAACTCAACATTTTTGTATGCAAATGTTCATAATGTACCTATATATTTAAATCTCTTTGAATGAGACTATACAGTAATCTATAGAATGAGACTGAGACTATAACGAGACTGATTGACTGTAGACTTAAGAACTTAAGACTGACTACGTGCTTGTCGGGAGATCGGTTAGGTATATTATATAGGATTTACGTTGTTGCTTACACTCCCCGTGTAGTGGCGGGTAAGAATACTCACTACCCCATATCTTCCGTAGGTTTTGTAAGAGGCGACAGAGGGAAACTGAGGCAGAGGATGGGCAGCAGCATCTTTCTGATAACAGCAAAACAACAATAAAAAACTGCGGTTACCAACCCGCTCGCCAAGCGTGGCAACTATGGCAATATTCCCGTCTACAGTGGCGACCATGGTAACGGCGGGGCAGGGGGTGCTAAGAATCTCCGGTGGAGGTTCGGTTGCCACCTACGACAACTCAACCTGGCAACTTATAACGCACGCACCCTGAGGACTGACGAGAAGATCCTGGAGCTGGAAGAAGAGATAGACAAGTTCCGCTGGAATATCATAGGATTATCCGAGGTCCGAAGAGAGGGGGAGGACACGCTAATCCTCGAATCGGGCAACTTGTTCTATCACCGAGAGGGCGACCATCTGTCCCAAGGAGGTGTAGGATTTATCGTCCACAAGTCTCTCGTTAACAACGTTGTAAAGATTGGGAGTATGTCGACGAGGGTTGCGTAATTTATACTCTGAAGTTCATACAGGTTTACACACCAACCTCGGCATACTCCGATGAGGAGGTGAAGGAAATGTATGAGGATATCTCTAGAGCCATGCATTCCTTCAAAACCCACTATACGGTGTTAATGGGAGAATTCAACGCAAGACTAGGCACAAATGAGAACGGTGAGCTGAAAGTAGGGAAATTCGGAATAGGGCAACGGAACCGTCCCTTCGGTAGCAGCTTGCCGACTTCATGGAGAAAGAGGGACTCTTTATGATGAACTCTTTCTTCCAGAAAGGACCTCACAGAAAGTGGACCTGGTCGAGATTGACTTCATTATGACGACCAGACGACAACCGTTCAGTGATGTCTCAGTGATCGCGAGGGTGAAAACCGGCGGCGACCGCAGAATAGTGAGAAGCACACTGGACCTAAACGTTAAGTTGGAGAGGTCACTTCTATTGGAGTCAACACTCCGTCCCCCTCGGGCTCTAATCCAAAGTCCCGAAACTTTTCAGCTCGAGCTACGAAACCGTTTTCAGTGCCTAGAAGATTGCATTGCAGTGGACGATACGAATGACAAGCTCGTGGAAACTGTCCATGCGGTCGGAGCTAAGTTTTGCAAGACCCGCCGCAGAAGAACACAAAAACTCTCCGATCACACTCTTAATCTCATGGCTCTTAGACGGGATATGAAGCTTCAATCTTCAGTAGATTTGACAGCATACAGGCAACTGAACAAACAAATCTCCAAATGCATGCGGCGCGACTTACGCAACTCTAATACTGCTCGTATTGAAGAAGCGATGGAGCGGAACCAGGGCTCCAAAGTCTTTGCCAGAGATCTGTCTGCCAGAAAGAGCCAACTGTCGAAGCTGAAGACCGAGTGTGGCAGCGTTGTTTCCGGGACACTTGAGATTTTGAGTGATATTGAGAGGTTCTATGGGCAGCTGTACACATCATCGTTGGAGCCACACGTAAGTGTGAGTAACGATCCAAGAGCGAATCTTATCCGACACTATTCCCATGATATACCGGACGTCAGTCTGAGCGAGATTAGAATGGCTCACCAGCACCTTAAAAACGGCAAGGCCCCAGGCGAGGATGGAATTAAAGCGGGTGGAAAAACGGTACTTGAAGTCCTTCAGAAGCTCTTTAATTCCGTCCTTCATGGTGGCATTACACTGGAGGCGTGTAGCAGAAGTGCGGTGGTCTTGTTCTTCAAGAAAGGTGACAACGCTCTCTTGAAGAACTACAGACCGGTTTTTCTTTTAAGCCGCGTCTACGTGCTGTTTTCGAGAGTCATTACGAATCGTCTCGCGCGCAGAATTGATGACTTCCAGCCTCAACAACGAACGAACAAGCCGGTTTCCGTAAAGGCTTTAGCACCATAGACCACATAAATACCCTTCGGCAAATTGTACAGAAGTCCGAGGAGTACAATTTGCCACTATGTCTGGCGTATGTGGACTATGAGAAAGCCTTTAATTCCGTCGAAATTTGGGCGGTGCTGCAGTCCCTTCAGCGGTGCGAAGTTGACTGTTGGTATATCGAAGTGCTGAAGTGCTTATGCAGTAGGGCTACGGTTGCTATCCGAG